AAACAAACGTATATGTCACCTTTCAAATAAATTGACCATGTTTATTAATACAAAAAACAATAAGGACGCAACATTGACATGTATAAAGTAATTAGTAATTATGCTCAAATCTGCATAAGCATTAGCTCGTACATTGCAGAAATCCAAGAACCGAATGTTTCCACTCTGATATGTATTTCTTAAAAGGCAAAATCAGTCTACTCAAATAAGAGTAGCAACAATAATATTGCTCAAGTTAAAGAAAAAAGCACAGGGAAGTAAAACTAATCTTATTAGTAGCGTTTTTCCAAAAAAGTTACTCAAGTAAATGAAACCAGTAAATTTGTAGCCTGTACTTGTTTACAAGCTTAACATGAAATATTGTCATTAATCATCATTACTTAGTTTGGAGATAGAAACTGCCCAAGGTCTTTGCCTTTCGCTGGTTTGCTGCCATGATTTTAACACGTCCTTCGCCGCTGCACTGGTGTGAAACAGGCCCCTAAAACCCCAGGACCCCCCAAAGCCCCTCATGCCACTGGACCTGCCTTTGTTCTGTTCTTGATTCTTGCATTATGTTGTTTGCATGTGTTGTTCTCTTTGTGCCATAAACTGTAAACATAAAGTGTTTTGCTTCATCATTAAGCAAATTTTACTTTCCCTCTGCATCAGGGTTTCCCCCAATGATACGCCAACAAGAGATCTGCTCACAGTCTTTGGTTTTTTACATTTTGCCTTGAATAGCTGGACTTAAATCAAACATTGTACTTTTGTATTTTTCAGTGAAACTATGCAGCAAACAAATATAGAGGAAGTTGTTCTTACTGGAAGCTGGGTGTGTATGATGCTATCATCATGTTTCAGGTACGACAGGAATGTGTTCCTCTGCTGTGAAACGAGTTGATCAAGCTGTCAGGGTTTATTTTGCTGTAAGAAAGATGAAGCTGAAAATGCACCTGCACACAACAAAGTTTAAGTTTATTTTCTGGAAATGTGTTTTGTTCCTGCTTTGCATGAGCATGTGCATCCAAGTCTTGATATATCACATTTTTTGTTTATAACTTTAAAAAGTATTTCAACAAAGTCAGGTGATCTCTAGTATAAATACTACTATTTAAATGATTGTTCATAAAATAATTCAGCAAACAACCTGCACCCACTGTGTGGATGACACTGTAATTTTTTAATCCTAAAATAAAATGGTTCCAATAAAAACAAAAGTTGCAGACGCAGCTTGAAGTCTTTTAAATTGGTGGAGTTTTCCACAGAACTAACCAGTCTACTTCACAAGACAAAAACATTTTAAAATCAGCAGCTCATCCTCACTTCATCTTCTCTACCTTTTTCTTACAAATCTTAAAAAACTGCCTGACCAAAAAAATATATCCTTCAGCCTAATATTTAATTTAGCTTTAATTAGTTACTAGTCTGCAGAGGCATTCTGTCGATTTTCTGTAATAACTCGAGGTGTATTTTCATCCAGTGGTGCATTAATTATTCATCAAGACAATGACAGTGGGGCAGGAGTGTCAAACTCTTGTCCTTAAGGCCGTTTTCCTGCAGCTTTTAGATCTTCCACAGGTACAAAGCGCTGGAATGAAATAGCTTAATTACCGCCTTCTTGTGTAGATCAGTTCTCCAGACCCTTAATGACCTCATTATTCTATCAGGTGGTGCAGAAGAGGAACATCTAAAAGTTGCAGGGCAGCCAGTGTCTCCCCAGGACTGGAGTTTGACACCTGCGCAGTGTGGGAATGCAGTCACTGTGCAAAGTCTTCTAAAACACATCCCAGTGATACTCAGGAGAGTGAAGATCTAAACTCTGGTGTGAAAATTATGCCACATACTTCCTGAGCCAATTATTCACAATCTGGGCCCAATGAATCCTGGCATCTCGGAATATGGCCAAGAAAAACTTCCATTTATTGAATAATCTGGTCATTCAGTATCTCCAGGGAGTCAGTTGAGCTCATTCTTTGGGCTCATGGACCTGAACCTGTTCAACTGCAGCAACCCCAAACTGCAAACAGGCTGCTGCAGTTGACACATTAGACTCTACATATGATGGGGCATCACTTGTTTTGTCTCTTTTCCTGGCCTGATGTGCCCATCACTCTGGAAGAGGGTAAATCTGGACTCATCAGATCACATGACCTCCTTCCATCGTTCCACAGTCCAATTTTTATGGTACTTCCAAAGATGTAGCCTTTTTCTCCAGTTAGCTCCACTGTTCAGTCACAATCTTTGAGTTCAGTCCACATATTGTGGAAATGTTTACTTTCGCTATTATAGTCCTGAGTTGTGCTACTGTTCTTTGATTTGATTTCACCAAAAATTAAGTGATTCAACCACATTTCTTCCTCAAAGTCCCACTTTCCTTCCAGTTATTAATAATGGGTTAGACAGTTCATAACACAAATTTAGAAACAACTTAAAAACATATAGAACACATGTGTCAAACTCAAGGCCCGGGGGCCAAATCCGGCCCGCCGTAGCTTTTTATGTGGCCCTCTGCAGACTA